AATTGCCTCCATGTTTCTCAATGTCTCAATTTCTCATCTGCCTCCTCAGGTTCCTTTTCCTTTATTGTCACATCACTTGCAAACTCACCTGCCTCCAGGCAGTGTATTTCCTCCCCTATTTAATTTTTTTCCATTAGCACCATCTGTGTGTGTACATGTAATACAAGCACTTCATTTTGTGAAAGTGATATCAAACTGAGTTGACCCTGTTATTGCCCTGAAAATAAGAAATTTCTTCTCCTATGCTACAGTTTCTTTGTTGAAGAAAACTAGAAGCCAAGAGGGAGTTCCTTTAATGTCATAGCTAAAATTATAAACTTGAGTAACTCCTCATGTGCTCCCCTTGAATACTTATTATACTCAACTCATACAGACACAGAAGCAATGTCTGTTTTGCAAAACCAAGAATTCTATCAAGAATTTTCATTCTAGGCAGGTCTTTCAGGTTATAATTTGTCTAAATATCACAAACATTCAAATATCTGTACCTGCAGCTAACTGTCCCATACAGATGAAAAGGCTGTGACTACCTTAAACAAGAAAAGAGATCCCCTCAAAAAACATTCAACCTATTTTTTCAGGTAAATGTTCAATCTTTACAGAAATAAAAGAAAAAGCAGCCAAAGGAAACTATGAGTAAGTGGGTAATTTTCAACTTGTTGTCAAAAGCCACTAGAAAAGCTCTATCATACATTAAACTTGTAAAATTTGTCTAAAGCTTTGCTGTGTTCACTCTCTAGGCAAAAACAGGTCTAGAACACAGGAAATCTGCATGGATGGGAATAAAGCATTTTGTTAGAGAGATGATGATTTGAAACTTGAACTTCTAAATGTAACTACTGAAATTGATGTTTTATATAGGAAAAAAATCTCAGAACCACCAGAAAACACCATTTCCTTTAAAGCAGTTATGTAAGACAATGTTTGGAGTCTCATCTGGAATGCTGTGTGCCATTCTGGTCACTCACCTTTAAAATGGATGAACTCAAAAGAGCAAAATTAGCAAGAGTCATCAAAATCCTACTTTAAAAAAGAGTGTTATCCATCAGAAGAAGGGTGGCATGGGGCATGATCTCTGGTGCTCAAGAGTAAGTACTATATAGAGCAGCAAAATCAATGCTGATTCAAGAAGAAATTGGTATAAATTAATCCGGAATAATCCTAGAAGCAATCTTATAAACTGCATTTACCTGTCTGTAGTGCAGGTCTTCATATAATTCTGGGGACAAACACCTAACTCATTTTAAGATATAGGTCCACACATTTACAAAAGGGATTATACAACATGGATCCTTGTTGTAGCAGGCAAGGAATAAGATCTTTTTCTCCATTCTTGTGTTCCTACAGATCTGGAGCTGCAATAACATGGAAGGAAGGGGGCTCCCTACTCTACAGTACAAGGTTCAGCTGTGCTGCCATTGTTATTACTCATTAATTGGATTTAATTGCTATATGATTAAAGTAGATAGTAAGAGTAAACACTATTAATTCCTGTGGAGTCAGGGGAGAATTTCTTTATATCTTGCTGTAAACAAGTTAATGTCAGGAGGCACTGAACATGTAGCCTGCCTGAATGTGTGGCAGATCTACATTTGAAATGTGTAAAACTATGTTTGCAGAATCAGTAAAATAAATCTGGCATTTTTTCAATTATGTAATCACTGTAGTAAAGATGAGGGAGAGTTACTTTGTTTGTATTTCAGCAGCCACCATTTTCTCCGAGTTCAGTCTTCAACTACATTTGCCTTATCCTGTTATCATTAATTAATATCAGTAGGAATGGGCTACATTTAGATATTTAATAATTTTTAATCTTCATACCTGGAGGACCTTCTAAGAAATATTTCTACATGCTTAGTGAGTATAATCTTCATCCTGTTCAGCAAGCATAATTAGAGATTAATTTGTCGTGTCAGGGATTTAAAATATTTTAGCTCACCTTTAAGCAACAACATAATTTATGTAGGAGAATGCAATCGCCTTCATAGACAAAATTTTAAGAGTGGACATTATTCAGTAGTGAGAATGGAAATGGCCTGAGTTCTTTGTACTAATTCTTAAGTTTCTGTATTGGAATCCAAACTTTGCTCTTGCCTATGCAGTAAAACAGGCAGAAAAATGGGGTTTTTTTAGGAGAACACAAAAGGAAAAGGCATATAGGCAATTCTGCCGGCCAGTTTTCGAATTTAAGTGAGAGATTATTAAAATGCCACGTTTCACGGAGGAGCTGGTGCTCCATCCCAGCTCCCTGGGTACAATCCTCCGTGCCTGCGGCTCCCTCGTGTGGAGCATCCCCGTCCACCGGGACACCGGCACCGGGATCTTCACCCAGCGACCCTGAGCCTCTCCCTGTGTTATCATTCCCTGGATCCTTTGCTGTCCCGAGGCAAACTGTCTGCCCAGCAACAAGCAGTACGTTTCTTCTTTTTCTTTATTTCATTTGATAGACATTATATATATGTATATACACAGAGTACAATACTTTTCTTTTGTGATAGAGAATAAATGAAAGTTTTCATTGCTGGTTGTTTGTTTAAGTCAACAGATTCCAGTTAATAATGAAAAAAATTTAAACGTTTAATATCAAAAACAACTTCAAGTATCTTCTATACATTTTAGTATTCAGTATATAGGAAGGTGGTATGGGGCATTTGTTTTTATATCAAAAAATGTATTTGAATAGACTATTTTTACCCTCATACTTTAGAGTACTATTCATATCAGGCATGGAGTTTAAAGTTATGTATCTCATGGTCCCAGCTAGCTCTTCACAAGAACCATAGGTCACTTATACAATCAGGCATATGTTTCAAAACAGGGTTTAATCATCAGCAATTTCAAGGTGCAATAGCCATGTTTAGAAATGCACTATTTCATTCTCCTAAAAGAGATTAAGCTGCAGTCCTTGATGTGAAGCAATGTACAACACCACTGTTTGCAAAACAACACCTGACTTAGGCATAAATAGTACTTCAGTTCCCCGAGCAATTTATCCCTTAACCTTTCTGTATAAAAATAATTCAACTTAGGCATATATTGCACTAATTTTATCATACTGGATAACTCTCGCCCTGCATTATGTTTTTTTTTTGCTGAACTAGGATTACACTAGGGTTTTAATTTCCATGGAAAACCTGGGAATAGGGCAACAGACACACATATGGTGTGCAATAAATGGTTATCTATAATAGCAATAGTAATCTCAGAGGCATTCACAAAGGAAGCTACACATTAGACTTGGAGATCATTTTCTCCAGTAGATTCATCATTCTCTCCTGTAACTGTAGGCTTTGAACTTGAATGATGTTCTGCTGATCCAGGATCCTGCGCACTTCTCTACAGGTTTCTTCCATAGCTCTACTCAACTTCTTTTGTTCTTCCAACATGGCTTCCATTAATTTTAGCTTCTTCTTTTGGAAACTGCAGTTTTGCATTTTTCTTTTCTTAACTGGTCTTTCTTCAGCTCTGAAATGTGAATATTTGTTAGAAATTAGAGTCATATTTATAAAAAGAAAGAACCCAAAATTCGATAGCATATTCTTGGCCAAGCTACAACATAGTAATATTTTTAAACCCCTGTGTTCTCCAATAAATTCCCTCTCAAGTTTGTGCCAAAACATAAATATTTAATGTATTATTGCATAGTGTTACAGATCGTAAAAAATAAAAAAAAAAAAAAAAGGTTTCACATCTCATTGTTTTTAATAAGAATTTTCCCTGAAGAATACCAGGCTTTTTTTTGTTTTTTAATCTTGACATGTCTTACACATTGAATTTATACACTGTACTGGGAGAGATATTTGGCTTATCTGGCCATTGAAACTCCAATTTTAAAGCTGCAATAACCATCTCAATCCAGAGAAAGTGGTGCATGATTACATGTAGTAATATCTTACAGCTTGTTTTTTACAGCATTGCATCAGTAAGGCTGGTCCCACTCCAGAATATGAGTCTCAGAATTTACCCTTGTGCCAAGACACAGCAGGGGCACTGGCCACTCTTTTTTTATATTCCACCACAAAACATTAGAAAAGTCTGAAAAGACAGAAAAATACCTGGGGGTGCTGGTTGAGAGGGGCTGAACATGAGCCAGGTGTGCCCAGGTGGCCAAGAAGGCCAATGGCCCCTGGCCTGGATCAGCAGTAGCATGGCCAGCAGGACCAGGACAGTGACTGTCACCCTGTACTCAGCACTGGTGAGGCCACACCTCCAGTCCTGTGCCCATTTTTGGGCCCCTCATGACAAGAAAAACATTGAGGGCTGGAGTGTGTCCAGAGAAGAGCAATGGACATCCTCGTCTGAAATATGCAGAGCTGCCACGCGGAAATTGGGGAATATTTTAAGAATTTCCTCTATCCTTTATCGTGCTGGGTTCTGGAAGAGAGATAAACATGGCAATAAAGACAGTGCTCTCAAGGTGTAAAGGTCACCTGGCTCTTCTAACTTGGGGTGACAGAGCAACACAGTCAAAACCAGCCCATGTGGCATACAAGTGAGAGCACACACACAGATATGTGTGTCTTAACCTGCAGCCTAAGAAGGAATCATGCTAAACTGTGAAAGAGGAAGAAAGGCCAGTAGAAGGCATATGTGTGTGTACTACACATCTGAGAAACCCCCTGTTAGAGCTGGATAACTCCTTCCCCAACTTTAAGTGAGAGACCATGTCTTCATTTACACTTTTTGTAACTCCAGACTGGAGTCCCCAACATCAAAGATATCTGATGATGTGTCTTGAAGTCCCTTGACACAAACAGCAATCTCAGTCGTGTTCTGCCAAATGCAGTATCCTTTCTAGGTGAAATGAAATAATGAGATAGCACAGTTGTGACTAGAATGCCATGTCAACATCCTGCAGATTTTAAGACATTCTTGAATAAGGATAACTTGAACTCTTGAAGAATGTGTTTTTATAAATGTGAAGAAGGGTAGTAGGGGTGAGGTCACTCAGCTGTGACAGATTTGTATCATAATTTGATTCATGTTCTTATCCTACTTGACAGGCTTTGTGCAGCAGCAACTCTGACATTCAGATCTGTCAGCAGGAGAGATAAACAATCCTTAGCACCTGAAAGGCTTAATGCAAATATAAGAAAAAGACACAAGCCCCTTGACATTTAAGAGTGCAGTGACCCAAAAAGGGTGAGATATTATCTACTTTGGAAGGTATACAATAAACTCAGTTTTGCAGTTTCTATATAGCATATTTGATTTGGGGTATCAAATAAATGTGACTAAAATAAATATATGCTGCTCTGCTCAAACTGTGGGTCTGCTCAGATTGTGGGTCAAGGTTACTGCAGATCACGGAAATTATCAGTCTCACAATCCTGTGAGAATGGGTCTTGGCTAACACTAAATTCTGTTTGTCTCCCTTAACTCTAAAGGCCATAATTACTTGAAATGTGGTCCTCAAAGAGGTCAAGCTAGTGGAAAAGATCTGCAGCAGTCTGTGGGAAGAGTATACAGCAGTCTAAGGGCAGCACTGAATCTGTTATTCCAAGGCTCCCATCACTGTAGCCACATTCACAAAGAAGGTGTGTTTTCTGGCAGGCAGAGTAAGAAACTTCCTGAAATGGTGACATTATTTTAGTCAGAGTCACCTTTTGAATTTAAACTTGTCTTCACAGAAGATTTAAATGTTGGAAACTTGGTGAATCTCTATTCACCATACAGTGTTAGAAAGTAGCTGTGGTAAGACCTCCTGTCTTGAAACCAGTACGAACTCACTCCACAAGAGGGCTTGTGTGTTGTCAATGTAAGCACTGGTGAGAATGGTCCTTAATAAGGAATGAGAGAGAAAATCTGAGGCTTGTCAATGGTACTGAGGTGCACTGAGCATTGTGTGTCTTTCTTGGTAACAGTAGAGCCACCATTTGGGTTTTAATTTCAATTGAGACCATTGCAAAAAAAAACCCATAAAAATCCAAGATGGAGTGATTTAGATTGAAAGATCTAAAATAAGCTTTATTTTTAAGAGAAAAGAATCTTTGAAGTGTTTTCCTAGAGTCTGTAAGGGATTTTACCTCTTTTTCAGTTAAATCTATCAAAGAACTGTAAGGCATGAAACCATATATCCAAGACAGTAAGTGCCTTGCACAGCTCCAGAGAGAAAGGAGCAGCAAATTTTCACTGTGTCAGCAGTATCTGCAGTCTGCTAATAACTAAAAAAGTACTCACTGAAGAGTGCTAGCTCAAAGCTGTGTTTTAGCACAGAGAAGTTCTTCCAAAAGTAATGACCTGAGGATTCTTCAAGGTCACCCAAGTACTCCCTACATTTGTTTACAGTAACAAACACAACTTGGTAATTAGCCTTCATTGAAAATAAATACTTATTTCAGAAATTTTCAGAAAGCCCTAGCTTTGGTGATGGTCCCACTTTCCTTTTCTTTCCACTGACTGATACTGAAAGGGTTCTATTGTCACTCACAAGTTCACAGTTAAGGAATGGGCACTTAAAATCCTCTCCTCTTGCAGAACAGCTGCTGAAAGGGGGCTCTTGAGAAGGGCTCTACAAAAGAAGGCTCTAAATAATCTAATTTACAAGCAAAGAGCACTTGCAACATGGAACAATGTAAAATGTCCTGTGATGCCCATCCAGTGATTAGTTATTTGAATACTGAAGTGTTTCCTCAGATTTTGAGCAATCTTTCTTGAGAAGTTCTAGGTGTCCTGGGCAGCATGTCAGAGACACCTCTCTGTCAATATTTTTTTATAATAAATTCAAGAGGGAAGCAGAGATAGGAATACGGGTTCAGCAGCAAGCAACCCAAGCAGCACCACTATCCCCAAAGAGTTCCAGCTAGGAGCATGTCTCTTTTGCCAGTGTATAAGCACAAGAATAAACAACTGCTGATGGCTGTAGCATCAATCAGTTCCTGTTGCCTGTTCTCCATGTTGTGTTCCTGTGCAGGCAACACCTCTATGACAACAGGGCTGCAGCAGATCCTGACAGCATCCACAAGCTGTTCAAGAAGCACCTCCCTCTTTGTCAAGCCTAGGCTCTGAAGGTAGATTTTGAGGGAAATCTCAAGAAAGGAGGGTCTGGAGAAGTAAGGACCTCAAATACAATCTGCTGGTACTCTTCTGCTGGGCTTCCAGTGCCTACAGCAGAGTATACAAGAGATTGGCATTGGTATTCCTCTGACCACATGAGCCAAATGTGGAAGGGCTCTGGCTCTGGGACTGTATTCCAAACAGAACCTCACAAAGCTGTTTCCCTGCTCTGCTCTAAAACACACAGGCAGGGTTTCAAGGAAAAAAAACAAGGGAAAAAAATTGTTCCATCTCACCTAGGAGACTGAGCAGAAATGACTGTGTGTAATGGACATGAGGGGGAACAAAGCAAAACCTCCAGATACAATCAGGCAACAAATTAGGCAAGTCTCAAATGCATTTGCTGTTTGCCTACCTAATTCCAATTTAATTCATTGTTCAATTAAAATTTCCTTGATTGATTGCTTACACTTATCCAATACAGCTTGTTTCAGGGACATATGTGAATAATTAATGAGTAGGATTTGAATACAAAGCGTTTTCTGGTTATCAAAATGCATTATCTTCATAAAACCCTAACAACAATTCCTCATTTCTGACTACTTCATGGCAAACAGGTCCCCAGTACCATCAGTTCTTGGAATTTATAGCTTTTAACACCTAAAAGCTGTTTCTCACTGGTTTGGGTATTTTTTAGCTCCATACAAATCCCAGCAGACCTCCATAATTCATGTCTTGATTTAAAAAATGAACAATGGTCTGGATATAAACAATATTAATATTAGAGATTATATAAAGATCTTCAGAGCATAAGGACTGGGGATGAGGCAACCTGGATCTTTTGGTAAACTAAGCTCATTCAATCATTCAAATGCATTCAGGAATTAATGAGACTCAACCTTGAAGTAAAGCACAGAAAAGAACCACAAATGCCTTGGAACCTGGGCAAAGCACATTGCTAGGATAACAAGCCTGCATAATAAGTTAGGATTCACTACATAATGCACATAGCCTAAAGCTCAAACTTCTATGTAGATGATGCCCATTCAGATTTAAATAGCTGTAGCATAATTTTAGAAATAGTAAAGTCTTTGCCAAAGATGTTGTTTCCCAAATTAGCATCATTGCCATGTTTTAATACACTTCTTTTAATCCATATCTTGGCTAGTTCATGTTACCAATTGTTACTTTTTCTTCCTGTGTAAATTTTCTGTACCAAATTAATTAATCTACATTTAAAAATTTAAAAAATACCAAAGGCAGTACAATCATGGCACACAACCTCCTTGCCAGAAAGCAAAAAATATTGAAAGGTTCTCAAATATACTGAAAAGAAAGGTAAGCAGAAGTAACATCTGGAAGTTTCATTCACTAAATTCACATCTGGAACAAGGGACTTGTTTAAACGAGGGTTTGCTTATCACTAGAATGAAGGGAAGAGTGAATTCTCCATCTTCTGAATTTATCAGGTCTAGACCAGACATTTAGTGTTTCCCAGAGTCAAACAAATCATAGAAACAAAGCAGTGGAGCACAGCAGAGACAGGGGCTCCTGAGTGCAAAGTGCCCTGCTGAGGGAAGGGTGTCACAGAACCCTCTCCACAACATTTCTGGGCTCCACATAAAAAATTACCAAATTCAAATGGTATCCAACAAGAAGTCAGACTAAATAACACAGTGGTTTTATTATGGTCTTTTAATCCATGAAAGTAACTCTTTCACCCCCATTTTCAGAACAATAGAAATGGCAGAACACATGAAGTCTGAACTACATTCACAGCCTGTATAATTATGTTCTCTCATTATTTTGCTATGAAAACAAAGACCATAAATTAATCCACAGTGTGAAAAAACACTGTTTTCAATTAAATAAAAAGTCATTTATAGTGGTGTCAGGAATTTGGATTTTAAAAGTTTAAGCTGCAGTACAAGACTCCACCACATTGCATTATATTTTATGACCATAATAGAATAATTCTATTACTGTCAGATGTTTTGTACTGTATAACAGTGTTAGAACGGTGTTAGAACAATACTAAGCAATTATAGGCACCCCTTTAAAGGGATTCCAAATGTTTTCCTCATCTACACACTTGAAACAAAAATTAATTTTATCTCACATCAATTGTATTATCACTAACCAGCAAAATTTGGGTTTTGAAAGAAGGTCCCAAACTCGAAGTGTTTCAAACAGAATGAAAACCAGTTTCAACTGTTTTTAGTTTGACAATATGTATGTACTAGTTGAAGTATAAAACTTGACATTTTTTGCTATCATGAAAGCTAAACATTCTATTGATTTTTTGGAGCTATGATTTATATAGCCAAGTAGACTCCTGCTATGCTCAAAGATACTGTGGAAAACACAAAGCTGACACTCTAAAGCTGTGTTGAAGAGTTTAAAGGAATAACAGAAAAGTTTTCAGAAGTTTAAAAGTTATTTAAAAAGAACTACTGTTGGAAAGTTTTCTTCCCTATCAATTGTTGCCATAACATTAGGATTTTTATTACTGAAGAAAAAAATCCCGTAATGTAAATTGTAAAATATATAGCTGCAAAAGACATCTGTATTTTCATACAGACATGAGTGTATATTTTTCAAAATAGGGAAATTGAGGACCTAAAACATTCTTTTGATTTCAATTCCCAGAATTGTCTTTTGTTCTTTTTTTGAATCTGTTGGATCAATTGTCTGCTGTTCAGAGGCAAAGGCATTGATAAAATAGCCAAGATTTTTTATGCTACTTCTTTTCTCTCTTGTTGCCTCTTTCAAAGTGTTTTTCAAATACAGGATGAGACACTATTTGCTTAAGCTATAAATTGCTTCCTCAGTTAATATTTTTCCATTAGTAATTCTAAAATAATTAACTTCCTTGTCTAACCATGGCAGCTCTAAGTGATTTTAACCCGTGTGGTATCACTAGCACACACTGTATTTTCTTCTGGCCAAGAAAGGGCTCCCTACTCTGCTCTCATTCATCAGCCTAAATTAAACAGGTCAAAGCTGGACAAGCTTTTCAAACCCCCTAGGACTATTGGAATAACACTTTTTCTCCTTGCAGACACATGCCCTGTTTTCACAAGTGCTTTCTAATTTTTAATCCAATCATGATGCTCACCTGTAATGTTACACTGATCTCTCATGTGGTATCTACTGCTCAACTTCTCCTTTTCTTTTAGAACAGGGGAACTGTATTTTAACTTGTGACTGTGTAACTATCTTGCTGTTAAATGATACGCACAATATTCTATTGCACAAAATTCTTTCATCGTGAAGGCTGCAAGAGCATGGCTGAATTGTTAAGTTATGGAGGTCCTACCATCCTGAGAGCTGCCCTGCCCTTCCCTGCAGCTCCCAGAGCCTCCTGAGCCATCAGTGCAGCCACTCCAGCAGGCAACAGCAGCACTGCAAGGGCTGAGTGGCATTATCTGCCCCAGACTTGCAGCCAGCTGAAAGCCAGCCCGTGCCACTAGGGGCTAGATTTAAATGAGATGCAGCTTCTAAATTTAGCCAAGTAAAGTTAAAATATTTTTTACTAGAACAGGTTAGGGTATTTCCTTGGATAAAGTTACAAATAAATAAATAAACCAGTGAACCTGAAGCTGGCTAAAATGTATCACAGCCTAAATTTTCCAGAGCTTATAATTTAGTGACCGATTTAAGTCAATTTTAGCTATAACTAAAAGCACCTACATGAGAGTGAGGGTCCACCGCAAACTGTGGGCAAAACTGATGTGGGTTTGGGGTTGATTAACTTGATCTCTTTGAGGAATATCTATGTTCTGTAGTGAAGCCTGGTCTCCTCTTATGGTACAAAATCTGTGCTGTCCTGAAGTTGTCCCTAAACTGAAAAAACTTACCATCCAATATTTTTAAAAAGCCTGATGTTATCAAGTAGTCGACTGAATAAACTCCACAATGTTTGTGGAAGTGTGACTTCCTAAATATTAAATAATGTTATTGCAAATCCAATTGGGAATAAAGTTATTGCATCAGAAATGTGACTGTGGAGTTTGTAAATCCTAAAGTCAAGCAAGTTTGTGCATCCAGGAATATCAACTATTTACAATGGACTAGGATGAAAAAAAAGTTGTTCCTTGTGAACAAAAAGGTTGCTATAGTTCAAAAGTTATGCACCCTAGTAAATATTCATTGCCAAAAAAAAAAGTTTTTTAAAATAATCAGTTACTCAAGGATTATCTGCTTGAATGATGGAATGAATTTAACTTAGTTTTATTTATCCAAGAGTGGGTCTGGAAACAAAAATTCAAACTTGCTCGGTTGGTTCTTCTTCCAGCTCAACAATTTTACAGTTGCATGACTGACAGGTAATTTTACTGTTACAGTTAAAGCCTCACAGACTCATGATAAGGATCTCTAGGATCAACTTTTTTCCTGCCAGAAAACTGTAATCAGCTCTTATTTCACACCACTCTGGATGAAAAATGAGACCAGTAAAGTCTGAAATTTGTATCAAGTGTATAACACTGCCTTTTGTTAAAATGCTGCCTTCGAGGTAACTCCAATCATATCCAAAAAAAAAAAAAAAAAAAAAAAAAAAAAAAAATAAAAACAAAAAAAAAAAAAAAAAAAAAAAAAAGAATCACATGTTTGCATCTCAAACTAGCATTTACTTAAAAAAATTACATTCTCAATTATATTTAAAATGATGCAATGTACATTCAAACTGCATGAGCAGCTTTTCAGTGTTCACAGAAATATTTATTTTGCATCTTTTCACCATTTTCATAATAACTGAAGCCAGAGAAATTTCAAACTCATATCAAAAGCAAAACTAGAGCAAGCCAAAAATCATCTAAGCAGTATGTTATATCTCTGATTGCACCACAGGACTCTGTTGAACATGCCCGTACTCCTTTTATGAACACTCTCCCTGATGTGAGCCGTGACATGCATGCTGAGTTTTGGCAATAATATACAACTTTTTGCCCAGTTCTCCTACTCCCTTCAGTCTTTCATAAAGGAATAAAGAAAATGCCCTAATTCAGCAAAGTGACTGAGATTGGGGAACAGATCTCATTTGTGATTTACAGAAAAAATACAAGAGCTGTTAGAGAAAAATGCATGAGGGTGTTCCCTTTACACAGCAAATTCAGTTCATTCTGCAAAATACTAAAAAGAGGGAAAAATAGATGCTACCTCAGCTTGTAAGAAAGCAAGCTTGATGAGCTCTCTGAATGTTCATCTTCAAAGCATTCTTCCCTTCCTTCATATGTAAACTGGTTATATGGCAAATACAGAGGAGTGGACTTGGCTGATGGAGATTGAGAGGCCTCTGTCTGTGATGTAGAAGGACCTGGCTGCTGATTTTCATGCATTTTCACATCGCTGTGGTCTGTCACTTTGGATAAGATCCTATCAATGGTTTTGTAGTAAGGCCAGTCAGGTGCCACAGTTTCACTGTCAGTCATGCATTTTAATTTCCTGTAAGAAAAGGCACACAACATTAAAGCTTGTTTTCCTACAAACAGTACTTTTCATACAGATCCATCTCAAAACATTTGTTCTGGTCACATTTAGGAGTCAAACTGAATGCTTTTAAAGAGAATAAAATTAGACATTTTTCTTCTTTAACTTCCAGTGAAGCCTTTCAGGTTCTTTTCCTAGGTTTGACCTGTTATAAAAAGTTGCATGTAAACCCCAAATGAAATTCAATACAGATAAAGAACATTACAACTTCTAATGAAAACAGGACTGTGTTGGTGGTTGAATTATTTTCTTCCCTTTGAAGAATACCCAACTGACTAATCTGACAGCAGCCCCTGACAACTGGGCTGGGCAACACACCACAGCCTTTACTAAACTGAGGGCAGCCCTGTGCTGTCGTGCTTTGAAGAATGAATATTTATTTTCTATAATATGAATACAAGGGGCTATAAATATAATGCATATCCCTTTTCTAATATGGCCTAAAAGCTCTGAAATGCCTTGGTAAATAACCTTGTAACAACCATGAGATACAGACGTCTGTTCATTTGTTACAGAATAAAGATCAGGGTAGGGAGTACAGAGTTTCATAGTTTCATTAAGTTACAAAAAAAAAAAAAAAAAAAAAAAAAATCCCACAAAAAAACCTTAAAGCTGTTAATAATGCATTAGAAACAGCATACACAAAAACATTACATTACAGTGGACTATAAACCATGACTCTGTCTTTCACGTGAGATTATGATGAGATTTATTATTCAATCCTCAGACAAGTTCACTGCTACCCCAGTAGTTACCCACTGTCATTTTATTTTCTTTTACTGAGAAGTATAAAATTGAGGTATATAGATGTCATATACATCTAAAAGAAATCCCAGAACCCAGCTAGAGTCCCAAACTCTCTTTTCATTTGCCTCTCCCAGTTCGGATCTTGTTACTCTAAATGGAAATACAGGAAGGGAACACAACTGGAAAGGCAAGACCAGTGCCCCATTTTCATAAACCAGATTTCATTCAAATTAACAAAAATCTGAACCAAATCTGATTCTCACAGCTAGAGGTTTGCATTTGCAGGAAAAAAAAAATTAATTTAAAAAACCAAACAAACAAACAAAAAAATCACCTATTCCTGGACACCTGGCCCATCCTTTTTTTCTTGAAGCCTTTCAGGTTTTTTCTTCTCAGAATCCATCCTGCCCACACCAGTCTTGCAAGGGGTAAAATTAAATAACATGTAAACATGAAAACAATGGTGCCAAACTTAAAAGTGAGAACTTGAAGTTCTTCCTTTTAAAATGCTCTCAGCCTGGAGTAAGGGGAAATCCACTAGTGAGAAAAGAAGGCAGTAAGATTTGCTTAGATTTTAAAGCCATTTAAAGATTCTTTTTTCCTTGTCCTTGCAAGGTCTGATGAGCTTTTCCAGCTATTTAGAAATGCACATCATAGTCCTGCAAAGCAGAGCCTCACAGCCATCCATACTTTTATGCCCTCTATGCATTCAAAATTTTAATTTCATACATATTTCACAACCCACTGCTGCGATTTCATAGTCAGAGACTATCGAGCACAGCCTACAAATACATGCATACCCATCCAGCACAGACAGAAAACAGCTAAACACAGGCTTGACAACAACCATCAATTAATATTGATTATTTTTAGTTCAATTGTTGAGGCTATTTGCATGAAAAACAGATCAATTATGCCACTGTAAGCTAGTAGCCAAGCCTACATGCCATATTTGTTTGCCTGTGTTGAAACCCTCAATGTTCTCAAGCTATGAGGTTTAAAACTGAATTGCAATTATGCAGCACATTCACCAAGGTCAGTCATCCCCATGGGAGAGGTGACAAAAGCCAGGGGTGACCACATCTCAGCCAGGCCACTGCCAAGTGTAGCAGCTGCATTAGGACTTCATGGGATGTGATTTGAGCCTTTAGGACTGCAAAGCATCGTGCCAAAAAGGGCAGGACAGGCTTAGAGCTGATACTCTGCTGGCTGCTCTGGGAGCAGGTTTGTGCTCAGCCCAATGTCAGCCAGGAGCCCCAGGTCCCCATCAGCAGAGCTGCAGAGTCCCCTCCTGGTCCAGCATTTGGCCATCCCAGGAGAAGGACTTTGCCTCTGCCCTTGCTGAATTTGATGGGGTCCCTGTCAGCCCAATTCTCCACCTGTCCAGGTCCCTCTGAGTGGCAGTCCTGCCTGTCCTGCCCCCACAGCAGCAGACTGCAGCCCCCACTTTGCAAAGCAGTGAACTTGCACTCCACCTCTGCCTTTGGACTGTTATAATCAGGCCATGTCCCAGTACAAAACACCTGCAGTCCTCCACTGGGAATGAGCCTCTAGGAAGCATACAAACCATTAATAGCTACTCTATCCAGATACTTTTCTAGCCAGCTGGTAGTCCTTCCATCTGTAGTGTAACATCCCAGCTAGGATACTAGGATGCTCTTGGAGACTGTGTCAAAAGGGTTTGTACTGTCAAGCTAGACAATATTTTGCTCTACCCTCATCCACAGATCCAGTCTTTTAAGAAAGAAAGCAAGCAGGTCAGTCAGATGTGAGTCACTGCTGGTAAATCCATTCTGGCTATTCCCAGTCACCACTTTCTCCTTTCTGTGACTGGAAATTGATTCCAAAACTTCTTACTCAATGATCTTCTAAGGAATTGAAGGGAAGAAATCTTAATTCCTGTTCCTGCCTTTCTGAAGATTCAACAGGCTTTTTCTGGTCCCTAGAGACCTCCCTCAATCTTCATAAACTTTCAGAGATGATTCCTGACTCAGTCCTTTTCTATTGCTGGCATTTCTGATAACTCTGCTGCCGGAACATCCAACTGAGACATCTGGGCAGTGAAGGCTGAAATACAGATGCCAAGTATCCTCAGCCTCCTGACTTGCATCTGCTTCCATTAAATTACCCTGTGGTGAATTTTGGGGGAATCCATGTATAACTAGAGTCTGGGGGATGAAGAGATTGAGGGCAGTCCCACAGTGGGTGCTGGTCAATGAGAGGGTGGACATGAGCTGACATTGTGCTTGTAGCCCACAAAGCCAACCATTATCCTGGGCTGCATCAAAAGCAGCATGGCCAGCAGGGTGAGGGAGGGGATTCTGCCCCTCTGAGACCCCTGGGGTCTCCTGAGACCCCACCTGGCAGGCTACAAAAATCCTCAGAGCAGCTCTGCCATGGACACAGGCTGAGAGAGACAGGATTGTTCAGCCTGGAGAAGGCTCTGGGAAGACCACAATTATTGTAGATTCAGACTAGCTAAAAGGAACACAATGTAATCTGATGGTGAGTCACTAAGACAGGTTGCCCAGGGCAGCTGTGGTTGCTGCATCCTGGCAGTGTTCAAGGCCAGCTTGGATGGGGCTTTGAGCAATTTGCTTTAGTGAAGGTGTCCCTGCCCATGGGGAGGAGGCTGGAAACAGATGGTCTTTAAAGCTCCCTTCCAACCTGAACCATTCTATGATTCAATGGAAAGTTTCCAGGACTAGATATTTTGCCTGAGTAGGTTGGTGCCTTTTTTTTGCTATTTGAGCTCAGCTGTGTACCCAGACCCCCTTTTTACAGAACTACGCCAATTTTGAAGGCAGAGTTGCTGTTTATTTTCTGCTCACAGAACTGTAGAGTTCCAGTTATATAAATGCAGGTATTTCTCTGGCTCTCAATGCATTGAATGGATACTAATTCAACTTTTGACTGCTTACCATAGCTCTGAGCTAAATAAAAAGGATCACTACCAGGAGGTAGACAAGAGAACTGTTCTAGCTTAAAAGCAGCACCAGCAGCAATCATCTACCTGTATGGAGACTGGCTCAGATACACATTAAAAAAAAGGATAAAACAGGGAAAGAGATGAGAAGATAAGGGGAAAGGGAGTGTCAGTCCTTTGGAAGAGAAGTGGAAATGCTGCAGGTGGAGGAAAATAGGGAGAACCTTCACTGCAATAGTGCTGATGGTTTCTGGTAAAAACAAACCGATTAGATACCTTTGTAATACTAACATCGAGTTCCAGGATTTACTGACTTTTAAATATTTTTTCTATGACTGCCAGAAGTCCAGAAAACCTAGTTAGAGAGCTGAGAGCTTTTGCCTGCATTGAGGTAAATGTAACCCTTGAAAAACTGGAGTCTAAAGCAGAGATTGATTTACTGCCCTCAGCCATTAGCATAACTCATCACAGCAACCTTAGTTGCTTCCAAGAGATAGAATTGGGGGTTTGTTTGTTTTAATGAAACCTGATGATGTTAAAAGAAACAGGACAATAGGAAGGTTGGAATGCAACAGTCCAGAAATGACAGAACAAGATGAGCCAAAGATTAACACTTTGAAATTGGGCACATCAGTGCCTGAGGGAGCAAGCCAGGCAGGAAAAATGAGGTAAGAAACAGAGGTAAGCGAGAAAGTCAGCAAAGCTTACAAAATAAATTCACACTGAGTTTATCCAGACCTGTTGCTGTTTCATGAGGCTCTATTAAAATCCAGCTGAGAGCAGAGGCAACTGAGAACTCTCTCCAAAAACTCAGGGATCAAAGTCAGATTTCCAGTGGACAAATACCCAAAGCTTGCCAACTGAGTTAATTTTAAAGGTGATTGCTTGTCTTATTCCAGAGAAGTGAATAAATTAAGGGACTTTGAGATCCCACTGCCAAAATGCTCCACTGAACAGACTGAGACAACTGTTGAGTTGTCTCATTTGTGCTGCTATTGACCTTTTTTCAGACTTTATTCCCTGTGCCTACTAATTCTAAAAAAATGCTATCACAATATTATTTTCTAAAGAGGTTTAGTTTTTTTGAAAATCATCATTATTTAGTCAGCAAGAAGCAAGCAATCTATAACTTGCTTATTTTTTTAGACTTTGCTCAAAGCAGTATTGCTTTTTTATTATTATTGCAGCATTTGATATTACTACTTGCCTTAAGGAATGGATACAAGATCCATCTCCTGGGGTTTCTAGGAAAAGCTTTCAAAATAAATAATGAATAGCAACTGTTTGTGAACCAATCAATGGTGAGAAAAGGAAGGATGATGAAAGTACAATACTAAGTTGTGCATCTGCCATAAATTATTGAAATTAAAGACAAAGATAGTAAAGGATTGAAATTCAACTTTTTGCAGTAATTTGGCTGCACTCATATTTTATCATTTGCTGTAACAGAGGTCAAATTTTCCAGTTGCATAATGTCATAGAGCATAGCAATGGATTACACAAGCAAAATGTTTAATTGCTATCATGTACACATGAAAATAAAAAATTAGACTACTCTTTCATTCAAATCATGAGACTGATTCAAATTTACCAATCATTAACATTAATTGACTGTGATTCAAATCAAAGAGCAACAGCTGCATCCTGTTTTCTAGGCTTTGGGGAGGGTGATGTTTTTGAAAATAATAAATTTGCATTCACACAGTTCTTATTTTTAAACATCAGAAGGAATCAGTCAAAACTGTGGACCACTGTGCAAGCTGTGCATACCCTACTTCCTTTTGTAAGTATTGTGTCAGTGGCAATATTATAGCAGCAGTCACAGAGCACTGTGACACAGGGAGATCAGCACATTAGCAGTGACAGGACAGTGCTTTCTTTTAGAAGGAATAATCACAGGTTCACACGAGCTGATAGCCCTGAGTAGGCTGCACAGCACAAAGAACTGGGCACAGACTCTAAGGGATGCTAAAACTCAAGAGCTGGCATGCTAATCTCAGGAAAACTTTTGATGACCAGCACACATGAAAGCTTAACTTTGAATTCCAGGAAGCTTGACTCAGCCCTTCCTTCTTCCAGGATGGATAAATGGGGAGGTTCATGCAGCTCACCACACAGGTGTCTTTGAAGAGAAACATTAAAAACCTGGTGGCTGATCTATCCACAGCAGATATTTCAGATTTTACAGAAATCCCTAAAAGCAGAACTTTACTCAAATACACCTGCAGAAAAAACTGTCCTTCCACTTGTTGCAGAGGATAGATCTCAACTCCACCTATGGTGCTGTGCAGAATTTTCCACCCAGTCAATTTCCACGGTGGATGAAATGATCCCTTAATATACTGATACTCCAGTAAGAATGACTTCAGGTCATGGTATATTTTTCCCTGATTAGTTTCCTCCAAATGCACTTGGACCACAGTAATGCAGAGGAATACAGGAACCACTGCCAGCTCAGTCTATGGTCTCACTCTCTTCTGACAAAGGTCAGTGCTGAACACTTCAAGAATTATTTTGACAGACAGCTTTTGAGAGCACTTTCACCCATAAAAACACATGAGTATTTTTCCATCAACAGCCTGAAACATCAATATCCTGAAATCCACTGTCTTTCATATCTCTATCTAACTGGAAGACAAACAACATCTGTTTTATTATTTAATAAATCTAATCTTTAGTAAAAATAATAATATTACTAAAACAACCTGCTGCTCTCTTAGTGTCAGTGATTTTCAGTGGCAATGAGTTCCATGTGCTTATTATGCAGTGCAATACAGATTTATATGAGTTTTTCTAGTTTTGCATTTCTTGTCTTGCAATTCTTATAAATAACTTCTTGTATTATGGCAAAAAATATCTGCTTTATATTCTGAAAAATAGTGCTTATTTTTATGCACCTCTAAAACTCCTTTAGTATTCACAAACTTTTCCACTTCTCTTAATAAAGAAAGCTTTTCACATCTCAGCCTAACTGTTCTCTAAACATCTCCTCACTCGCTTGTCACCTTGTTGAAATATAGGGCAGGCAGAAATAAACATGAGAATTCAGGGAGGAAATAATGAGATAAAATAGATTTCTGTTTGGCATTTTAACACCTGAATAATGCTTTCACCCCAGATGTGGAGGAATGGGATCTGATCACCCTAAAATTGCTTATGTGAGATATGCTCATGCACACTGAGTTACACCTGAAGTAACTTTACCTGGAAGCACAAGATCCCACAGGGGATCCAAACACACCCAGAACCAGGGGGAATACCTGTGGGGGGAGCCCCTTCTAAGCCCCCTGCCACTGTACACACCCATGCAGGCTGTACTTGCTGCAGCAACTGCAATAAGTATTGGCCAAGGAACACTCCTTCCCTACTTATGCATATGTTTGCCTGACTTGGACACCTTCTACTCATAACAAATGGCTTGCACTAAGCAGAATTAAGAAAACAATATTTACTGAACTGCCTCTTAGAATGCCATGGGATCCTCAAACTGGAGAGCACCATTAGAAATATGTTCACTGTTTTCTATTCCAGAACCTAATATGCTTCTGATCATCAATATCTGTTTCAAGAGATGTCCCAGGATAAGACATGCCAGTGACAGTACTTTTAAAACTGAACTTGGTTAAATAGAAATATTAAAGTGCTGCTTTTTCCTTTTATGGAAAAAATACATGTATAAGTATTCATCCATATATGTATGTGTAGTAATTTGTAGGACAGGGATTTTATGTTCTTTTATGAAATTGTGATACTTAGGTAAATAATATTATCTGATTAAATATTTTAATGCAGTTCATTTCTGTTAAAGGGAGAGTAGAGGCCACTCCACCTCTGCAGCACTGTTCAGAGTTGCCTAAAGAAGTACAGGATCCTGAAGTGGGAGCAGAAATAAGCTCCTAGGTGCAGAACACCCCTACTCCCACTCCCGCTACTACATTCTCCCATGTCACACTCACTAACCCAATGTAATATTTACAAAGTATTATCCCAAAATAGAGCATTTTCCCACTTTCAGGACCTCCTTTTCCAGTTTGTGCCACAGGGGAGCAATGATGCTCAGAAATGCAGTGATGTAAAGCATCTTCCTCAAGTGTCCTGCAGGCACCCAAACTTAAAACTCAGCTGCTTCACAGCACAGCCAGCAGTGGGTGGCCACTCAGATCATTTGCAGTTTCACCACAACCTTCCCTATCCTACACACCACCAAAAAGTACCCAGAAAACTAGAAATTGTGAGTAACAGTTTTTGCTTGTTCCTGTTCTCCATACCACCTCACCTTGCCAGCAGAGCACACAGGCATGCGAACAAACAATAAGAAGATGCATTTTATGTTCCAGAGCACAAAATGAAACAGCCCTGTGACAGCACAAGGCAGTTTTTAACTCTCCTAAATTAGCATCTCCATCAATAAGCAGGGAGCTGCCATGCACTGCAAAATAGAAAAGCAGGTTGACAACATGCAACAGAAGCAATCTTAGAAGTTCACAGAAATAGAAGGGTATTTCTTAAAAGTGCGGTTTCTCTCACACACACAGTGAATGCATGCGAGTGATTTTATTTCTTCCCTTCCCCCAGTGCAACTTTAAAGTAAAAACATTAATTAGAAAAAAAAACTGAGACTCTCTGATTGATGACAACACTGTAAATTTAGAACAAAGGCTGACAGAAATAACCTATTCCACTTGGCAATTATGGCACTTAACTATCGCGCAGTGTTGCTGCTACAGACACCTGTAAAATCTCAGTGCCGAGCTGCAATTCCCAGCAGGGAGGACTGCAGATTTAGCAGACTAAGCAAAAGCCTGGTAGCCAGCAACTCCCGGCTCCTAAATCTGCATCTGAGTGTGAATTGCTGGGTGATGCTGGACAAAAATTTCTCCCACTTCCAGCTTTCTCATCTACAGCCTGGGTGAGGAAAACTGTAGGGATTACAGCAGGGTTGGTAAAACGTTTTGGAGATGCTGGGATTTGCCACAAAACATCAGGTTTAATATTACAGAAAAAGGATGTTAAACATTATGCTTGTGGATCATAGAAATGTAGAAGGACATTCAAAGTTAAGGGGTTTACAGGATTTTCCCTAGTTTTCTATTTGATGAGCAGTCTCTGCATTAAATACAGTAAGGGTGCCTTACAGAAAAGCGAGCAGTTTTAACATGGTTGCCTGCTGTAATAACCTTTTTTATTATTAATATGAGCTTTGAGGAGAGATTAAATAAAAGAGTCACATATTTGATTTTCTTGCATTACAAGCACCTAGCTCAAATCACCACTCAGGATTTCCAGTATGAGGCAGTTTGTGCCTCGCAGAGATAAGAATTAAAAAAAAAAAAAGATAAAAAAGAAAATGGAAATATTTCTGTTAAGTTCTAATTATTTTTCTCCCTGCAAACAACAAATCTACAAATGCCTCACATTTTCTGAAGCCAACTTCCCCTCCTGACTGCTTGCCTGTTCTTTATCATCCCCTCATAGACACCTCCGCCCTCCCCCCGACTCCTTTGGAGCAGTATTGACGGTGCACATTGATTCTCTCTGCAGATATAATAGTTCTTTCACTGCTGCTGCTTATAATTATAGCAATGTGTGTCACTCAGTAATAAGACATTCAATTATTCTTGGCCCCGTGAAGTGTAACCCTTCAACTCACGGGACCAAAATCGAGGAGCATCAGCCCCCCCCCC